ACTTTCCAACCTCTCGGCTCACAATGGGCCCAGACCCAAGCTGGACTTGAGACTTTATAGATTTTATATTTATGGTCCTAACTCCTCAGAAACCACTTCTTCTATTATGTTTCCTAAGCTCTTTTCTTTATTGAATGCATCTTCATCTAAATGTATCATAAATGATTTGGAGAGTGGGTCAAAACCTACATACGTAAAATTATCTCTGGTATTTGAGTCATTCCAAGCTGGCACCTGGCCCCTAGGTAGAACGGTCATAACTGCCTGCTGCTTTGCATCTGGAGGGGCCTTCTTTCTCCCACCAACCTGCCTTCAGACCCTCTTTCTCCTGTAGGACTCAGGTTGAGTTTTTCCTAACTGTGCTTAGGCCTGAGTTCTCCTTTAAAAAATCTCTTACCATGCCACAGTGATTTTACCTACCCTAACAGGAGGGCCACCACTGTGAGGGAACTATGCTTTTTTCTTTTTAGCATCCCCCAGCCTTGACCAGGCATCTGAGGCACAGTAGGACATCAATGACTGTGTGTTGGATGCTGGAGGAAGGACAGTGAATGGAGAAGGCCAGTGACAGCTACAGGTGGATGAAGATGGACACATAGAAGCAAAAATACAGAAAAAAGTACATCCCTCTCTGACTCTGAGGAACCTGGGATGATGCTTGACAGTTGGCTCCTATCACCCTCCTCCTGGTATAAACCTCCATCTGATGTCCACATTCAGCCAAAGGGGTTTGTCCATGTCCTCCAACATGAAGTCATTGTCACCCTAGTTCCTCTACTGCTCTTTGTTCTTACCCCACTGCCACTCTCCTGAGAAGCCTTCCAGAACACTCTAACTGGGAGTTTCTCCTCTGTTTATTTTAGTCTATTGCTAGCTTCTAAAAAATTTACTCCATTTGTCTTTTAGTCTGTCTCCCCGCAGAGAGAAGGTGCCTCTCTGTTTTACTCTATTGCCCCCGTCTGTAGACCATGTCTCCAATGTTAAAGTCTATGAATCAAAATTGGTCCAATCCAAGCTTGTCCACTTGCATTGTTCCTTTTGCTTAAAGTTCTCAGCCAGTGCCTTAATGCTCTGTTAGGGTAGGACTAGATGGTAAACTGGTACCCAGAGGTCCTTGGGTCTCATGCTCAGCCCACTCGAAGGTTTTATTATGCTCTCTGCATACTCTATGTTCAACCTCTCCTCTTTTCTTTGTCAGGCCAACGAGCCAAGTTTTCACCCACCCCCATCAACCACGGCAAAGCAAAGACATTTCCCGAACTTCCCGTTCTGAGACTTTGAAAGACTTTTTTAATTAATCAAAATGGTTTCTCATAATAGATGGGTCCCAGGGCGAGAACGCGGCTGTAACTCACGCGACAGGCGCCCCAGCGGCCGGGCTGCTAGCGGGGCGCCTAGCGGGTTGTGAATGGCAGCAACGCCTCAGGAGGGCCCCAGCCTGATTCTCCACTCCACGACCATCTGCCGTTCTATCATTTATATAGTTGGGGACACTTCTGTCTTTGGGAACAATAAAGCAATTTTTTTTGCTTTGATGAATATATTAAAGTTTTTAAAATTTGAATTTAGAGAAGTCAATAAAAATGTATGTTGCCCACTCCAAAATTTCTATCTAAAAATTGAAAGCATTTCCTGGGATGAGGTCACTTAGCCCCAAATATAACTCCAGCTTTTAGGTTATAAGGTTACTAGGATGTCCTTGGGCAAACAGTACCTCAGAGAGATCCTTAGTAATGATTAGCCTCTCAAGGATCATATTCAGGTTTCAAAAGGATTTGAGCTAAAATTGTAAGACGAAATGATTTCAAGTGTTTTGATTTACAAAACTATAGTACACTGAGCCTTTTTTTTTAATGTCTGACAATTGTCTGCTGTGATTTTTCTTATATGCTGTCTAACCAGAAAGTAGCCACACTACAAGGCCTGCTTCAATTAGGGAGCGTGGGGTTCTTCTCTACAGTCTTAGCAATGCCAGTCACACACTGCTAAATTGCACATGATAGTATGTGCATGAACTCAAAAGTATCCGGAGTTGAGTTATAGACTTGAGCCTTAAGACCCTTGAACTCTTATTCCTTTATGACAGCCATCAGGGACAATTAGCTCGACCGTGTGATAAAATAATTCACTGCAGAAGGAAAAGAATCCGTAACTAACCAAGGGTGTGGTTCTAGCTAGCCTTTTTCAGACTAGACACCTCTGCTTCGGTAGAAGTCTTTGAAGATCTGAGCATCTTTCTCTGGGGACTTTCCCAAGGATGATTTAGAAACGATACATCCTTCAGTATGCAGTGGTGACCCCAGGTAGAGAATGTGCCACTGATTCACAAGCCCTGCATGACCTCTGTGCCCGATCCTGAATGGCTTTGCACTCTTGCCCCATCCCCGCAAACATACACCCTATTCTGTGTAAGGCTGAACGATCAAAAGGCTGGTCAAAGAGGCAACGTCTTGCAGAGTACATGAAGTCCCATGACTGTCATTCTGACTAAAGATACAGACCAGACAAGGGTGAGCACAACCAGGTGTGAAAAGCACGGCAAGCCACTGTGATTAGGCAAGCTATGTCATACTGATTATTGAGGGGGTGAGCTTCACAAGCTTAAGTTATGAATGAAACAGGCTATATTAAGAGGAGTTCCAAGGATGGATCAAGAGAAAAATCATGGTGTAGAGAACTGTAGTGGGTAGGTAAGGTGGACGCTTGCTGCAAATCAGCTTGGCACTCTCTGACCTTGGCTGCAGATTCCTTGCTCAGTTTTGGATCTGGCTGGCTAGCCCATGTCTGCATAATGAATGAGCTAAGGGGATTCCAGTTTTAATGGATATATAAGAGGAAGCCACCCTTCATTAAGTGGGTGCAAGCACCACATAGATCACAGGTTTCTGCGGAATTCAGGGAAACAGACTACCATCTCTTCTCTGTGGAGCCCCTGCCTGGATGCTTTGATCACCCTGGCCAGCCACCTCAGGGCCACTGTCATTCAATGCGCATTTAATGAAGCCATCAACACTGGAAAACAAGCCACTCTGTGTTTCAACCATCAGGTATTTGTCTGTTCCCTCAGTGATGGGCAGTCAGTGGGTGGTTCTGTGGTTTTTATTTGCAGCCTCGAACAACAAGACAGTCTCTGACCCATGTTCTCTGCCTTCATTTGAAATCTCCCTAAACCTAAGAGACCTGAATCCCGCTAACCACCACTGGAGCCATGGTCCAAGAATAGGCTGACGTAGTTTGATACCAGAATGAGAGACTACATCATGGAGGCAGGCGTCTTCAACAGAACCCTCAAATGACCCATAAATTCATGTATAAAGACGCCAAGGAGGGCACCATGTACTTAGGGCCGTGTGCTCTATTAGGAGATAGACATAAACTCTAATCTGGACTCTACCAATGCTGAAAGCTTTGGCACTTCGGGGGAAGAGGTTTCTTTCATGGGGAGCTTGGGACACCCTTGTGATTCCGAGTGGTCTTAATCAAAGGATGCAAGTGATTTTAGTCCCCTTTGGGCTCCTCTTAGTTCTCGCATTGCACCAGAAGCCACAGACTAGCCAAGAAAACATGAGAATGTCAACTTGGAAGCAAGGACCACTGGACCACAGGTTTGAGAAGTGCAGTCTCTCTTTCCTGGGTAGAGAGAGGAACAATCGCACCCTGCTGTCCTCAGCACACTAGTTAGATTCCACAAACATAGCTGACAGAAAGGATGCATTAAAAATAGGATACAAAAATGGCTCAGAAATTAAAAGCATTAGCTGCTTATACAGAGGGCCTGAGCTCGGTTCCCAGCACCTACACTGGGCAGCTAACAACCACCCGCAACTACAGCTCCAGGGGATTTGACACCCTCTCCTGGCTTCCATAGCCTCCTGTACATTCATGTTGTACTTACAGACATATATACATTCAGGCACATAAAAGAAAAGAAAAATAGATCTTTTAAAATGTTTGCTCTAAAATGTCTTTAAAAGGTAAGCTTGATGAGAAAACTTAAAATATGAATTATGGACATTTTCAAGAAAAGAATCAGTTGTGATTTTTTTTACATGAAGAGCACAATAAGCAAATACTTTAAATAAAGTGATCAAACAGGAAAAAACATTGCAATGTACAACAACAAATCTGTCAATTCAAAGCCGAGTGTCGTAGTGTGCAGTCCTTGCTGTAATTCAAATACAGAACAGCACAATGGCAAGCTTAATACTCACTGCTAATAGCAAAATGATCCTTTTTATTGAAGATGAAGAAAAAATAAAACAATGTTGCTCTAAGCAGTTTTGAAATGAATATCTGATTCAAAACTTCCCCTGTGCATATAATTGCATGCTAATTTACATTTTAATTACTTCCTAAGAAATCAAAGCATTTGTTGACAGTAGAACATAATGTCAACTTCACGGTGCACTGTTGGTGGATGCTTAATGAACTTAATTAGATAATTAGTGATGTTAATTATCCTTCTATTATGAAGATAAAGATGTCTCACAAATGATGTACTCAGTGAAGAAACATCATTAAAGGCCTCCGTGTTTGCTTTTGTTCATTTACACCTAGTTTTCAAATTCCTGTAACTGGCTTATGATAAACGGTGACAAGTAAAACTTGCTAAAATTGGAGGGGGGGGCAGTCACTGCCTTCCTTCAGCCTGCTGTTAATCGTCCCCAGGATTCTGGGTGACGACATGGTGATGAGACCGCTGTTGTTTTTGCCCAATGTCTGCTGTATGAAACTACAGCTACACACATGCAAAGAAATGTTAGAGTAAAACAACATGTATGGCATAGGTCTGTAAAACCATAATGGAATGGCAACATCCCCATGGTCTAATAGCACTATAGTCACCCCAACGTACATGGGTGGTGGTGCTGAGGTTGACAAGCCTGAGCGGCCAACCTTTACCAGCTCAGCACTGGCACCTGCAAGCTCCTTGATACTAGTCACGGGCAGCGTAACTAACTGTGTCTCTAAAGTGCTATGCTCTACTCCATCTCCTGCAGACAGTGTGCTGGGCTGCGCCGGCAACGATCTGCTGTGTGCCGTTCATCGAAGGAAGAAGTTACCATTTCAGCACAGGGTGAGCTTATTCTGTTGTCTATTCGGTCTGGGATGTGCTTCTTCGACTCTTGTTCTTTCCCGAGAGTTCAAATTCCTACAGTTCCTCTATTTTATCACAAGGTGTACACCTTTTACGCATTCATGCACACACACACTCACATACACACACATATTTTGAAACCATGCCCATGGCCACTGGACAATTATCAAATATTAATCTCACCCTCAAATCAATAAATTCCTTCCATTTCTTTGTTCAAGAGAGCAGTCTGACCACTTCTGGTCAGTTCCAAGCCCCTTTGGTTCAAGTCCCCATAAATTAGACTTCCTTGTCCTGGTCCTAAGATGATGTGGTCTCATTTGAACTGTATCCATGCCAGGGGGTCTTGCCATCTGGCCCATCACAATTTAAAAAACCAAGATCCCATTTACAAGGTCTTGCAATAGAGCTTACACAACTAAAATTTTAAAACACATTTTTTTCCAAATGTGTTTAGCACATTTTCTTTGCAGATGACTTTTATTCCTTAACAGACAGCCCTATTTAATTGCTTGCTCTCACGATTTCTCTCCTTACAACCAAGTTTTGCAATAATTCCTTAGAAAGTCTGTATGTTCAGGTTGTGAGTGGCTATTTCTGGTTTCCAATACCCCACACACCTCGTCTTGTGGACACAGTGTGACTCTTCTGCCTGCCAGCGAGAACATGTCCCGAAGACCACCCCTCTCTCTAGACCCTCTGCACCTCTGTTTTAGAAGTTCTTATGCATTTTAATTTTCTCCCAATTTTAGACTACCTACCCCAACATCTCTTAAAGTCATATTTGGGTACTATGGAAGTCCTTTCTTGCCCACAAACAGTAAACTGCATTTGCTCTATGCTTATGTAATAACATTCAGTGTGGCGACCTTGTGGGCTTTAAATGCTCTGAGCTCTTCATTAGCTCTTTGGCATCTCCTACTCCGGCTCTTTACAACAGGACATCTGAGAACTCCGGCTCACATGGCAACTGTCTTTTCACTTCCTCCGCTCTTACTCTCCACACCATTACACATTTCTCCTTCTTTTCAAAGCTCATTCTTGTTGTCTTTGAAAATCTAGTCCAACCCTTGGACGCTCATGATCAGAAATCTTCTATCAGGCTTGAACTCTGAGGATTGCCCCAGAGTGCTTTCTCTCCCAACTATGGAGGAGCCAAGGCATTAAACTCGAAGGTGGCACTGTCACCAGCAGACTGCATTCCTCGCTCAGGCTCTGCCTGAGCAATAGCATCCTCAGCCCCTAATCGGGAGAGCATTAGTGTAAGCATGACAGCAAGGAACCCATGGTCAGCTCCCTTACACCGTCCAGTTCCATACACTTGCTATCTCTTCCACAGTTACTCTTTTAGCTTTATGATTTCTTTAAGGAGACGATAAACATGTAGGGGATGTGAGAGTGGCAGGCAGGAGAAAAGGCTGAGCAGGTACCGGAAATTCTTGACGTGAAGAATTGATAGTAGAGACTCATTTCATTGTTTACTTCTGTGAATGTTTGGAATTTTCCACACAGAGGTGAGGAATAAAGTGCTTAGAGCATATAGTCACAAGCGTCACTTCCTTTGCCAAAGACATTAGCAAGAGCGCCCTTCAATGGAGCCGCCACCTAGTTGGGGTCTGCATTTTGTTCTTGGCCGCGTGTGTGCAGTATATGCTCAGGGACAGAGCTTATAGGAGATGGGCTATGAATGGCAGATCCACAGCCACGTTCTCACATAAGTGCCTTGCCCTAAGATATCCAAGGCCCTCTGCATGGCTCCTGATGGTGTTTATGGTGATATTGATGCAACCGGTATATGTGGCCAAGGACAAACTTTACAGGACTCTTGAGGCACTTGGAGCAAAATCAAATATTCTTCTGGTCTTGGCATGGCAGAAGTCCAAGTGCTGCCCCCCAAGCTTATCTTGAGTATTTTAGCTACTCCAGTGAAGACTTCACACAGCCTTTCTTCCTCTCCATAAGGGTTGCTTCACTTTTATTCTATGGTATTGAAAACAGCAACTAAAAGTATGAGCAGCTGTGTCGCATTGGAAATGTGGTAGACACGGGCTCTTCAGCACAAGCACTCTGGCTTTGATGGGATACTAGCAGTGGAAGGTCTCCTTCCTGCAGTGGGGCCAATGGATGCTGACCCAGGATGCTGAGCACAGGTGTAGAGCATGTGTGTGGCTTCCCACGACAAGTGGGGGGACATCCAGCTCATCTCTACTCAACAAGACATAGGCTGGTGGATGCATGCATTCAGATGAGCTCCCATTTCAAGGACACCACCCCCAGCCACGCCTTCTGACTCATCCACTTCCTTGCCAACAGATGCTTCTAAGCTTTACTCCCTCCTCCCACATCCCAGGCTGTCCCTCTTCTCAGAATCATTTCTTCTGGCCTTGCTGGACTTCTGCCTTTACTCGTCCCAGCCTTGGGTAGAAGAATTTTCCTGTATTCTTTGATGCTGGATACTCCAACCACTGTTGCTACAGCCCTATCCACCTAAACAATGGGACACCTCTTGGACACTCTCTTGCCTCAGAACTATCACCCATTACCTAACCTGTACATGAACAAGACTCCACCACATGCCCCTATTCAATCTTGCATTTATGGATACATTGAGAACAGTCATGTGGTCCTTATCTGGTGCTAATTCTTATCTTGGCCCTGCCAGTACTCTTGGACTTGTCCTGCCTAGCAGCCCTGACCTACACCATTTTCCAAACCTCTCCTCTTCTTGCCTCCACCCTAAAGTAACTTCTCTTGCATGAGCTCCCAGTGTCTCCCAGGGTCCAGACCCCTATTCTGTTTGCCAGTGCTGTTCTTTCCAGGCATGTCCGTAGAAGGTGATATGCTTTGCATTTTTGGAATAACTTTAAATCTGTAGATTAACTGTGGGGACAATACAGAGTATCGATGTCTACCTGGCCCTCACCTGATTTTCCATGACATAAGCCAATACTATATGTCATGATAATGTTCACATGCCAAAAAAGAATGGTGTTTGATTACTGTTATGGTTTGAACACAAATTGCCTCTGCCCCCATGGGCTCATTGCATCAAGCACTTGGTCCTCAGCTGGAGGCATTATTTTAGGAAGTCTTTAGAAACTTAGGAGGTGAGGCCTATCTGAACAGCTCTTCCCTACCACATTTTCTTGTCTACCACAGTGTTCTGCCTAAGCTCATGGACCAAGTCACCATGTCCTGAATCCTCGGAAACTACCAAGCAAAACAAATCCTTCTTATACAAGGTGGAAAGGCAACTTCTCAGCCTGTTCTGAAATAAGGGCCTCTGAAATCACATGGGCAAGAAAGCAACATCCTCTGCTATGGAGAAAAATGGCTGGCTAGTGTCACCCAAGATTCTCCAAGCAGACAGCAGACATGGTAAAATGGCTTCCGAAGCACCCTGAGCTGGCTTTTGGAGACCCTAGGAGAGTCCAAGTCCCCAGCCCCCATCCAGTTCTTCAGGTTTTCACCATGTCAGCCAACGTCGCAATTTGATCCCAGAAGGAACAGTGATGGGGCCAGGGGAAAGAAGAAAGAAATAACATCTATCAAAATAAGTGACATCAATCAAATCGGCCTTGACTCAAAGTTCAGCTTCCCTGTCAGGAAGAGTACATATTCTTGTGAAGAGGAAAAGAAGTCAAGAAATGAGGAAGCCCACCTCACATGTCTCACTCCCAGGAACAATTTATCAGCGCTATAGAGCTGTCAGCCCTGACATGATAAGGCGTAACACCGAATGAATAATGCTTCCTCCAGTACCAACTCCTTTAATTACAAGCCTCTTCTTTCCAGAAGAGAGACAGAAGATGCGAAAACACCAATTTCATGCACTCGTGCCTGAATAATGTCTCCATGCTGCTTTTTCCAGATGGCGACCTCCTCACTGGAGGGACTAATGATGTGGGCATATTTAGGGAAAAACCAATAACGGAGTCTTTAACCTTCAACAACAAAAAGCGTGTTATACAAAATGTTCCTTGGGATACATTAGAAAATATCAATTACATTGCTCACTGAGGTGTAATCAGCTGTAATAATCAAAATTAATTTTTAAAAATAATTAAACAGACCCCAGGGCAAATAGTTGATGCTCTTATCTTATGACATCACAGTGTACATATGTACCTGAGAACGGTGCCTTCTGGTAACGACAAAGACAGCTCGTGGAATGAGTGATGGATGTGGGGTGTGAAGGCTGCTGAGTTTCAATGCAGTGTGAAATCAGGAGCCTTCTACTCCCTCCTTCCAGAACCATCTATGCCCATTCTTTAGTAACCTCATCTGTGGCTGGTTCTGTGCCCATTCCAACTGGGTGACCAGTATAGGAAAGTCTAGCTGGTTCTAAAAATTAAAACAGGTTTGCCTTGTTTCAAAAATGGATTTTTTTTTTAAATGCAGGTTCCAAGAACACCTGTTCTTGGTACTGAAAAGTAACCCAGATCCATTTCCAGTTAATGTCAGCCCCTGACCTGGTTTTTCTATACACAGTCCCAACTGGAAAGCCACATACACACCCTCAAACACTCAGAGATCGTAGAATTTGATTACAAGTGGCAGACAGCAGAGTGGAGATACCACAACCAGGCTTGGAGATGCCTGAGATGTCTCCCCCGACAAGGCTCACCTCTGCTCTGCATTCGGGGTCCTTCGCCTGGCGCCCCGGCATCAGTCTCATGGCTGAGGACAGACTCCCACTCCACGAAGTCACTTTGCTATGGTATGTGACACTTGAGCGACTGGCTAGTGACTTCTTCTCAGATGCTGTGGGAGGAAACAGATTTTAGAGTTGAAGTAGAAGGGAAGCGCACACACCGGTTCCACATCTGGCTTGACTGTCCCCCTAGGGCCTGGATGCTGCCCGCCTGCCGCCAAAGAGAAGCAGCCACGCTGTGGGCACACACTGCCATCTTCTGATGTTCATTACGCTAAGAAATGGATGTGGCCTGTGGGGCCCCTAGACCTGCTCCAAACTCCTAGCTCCACAGCTTGTTGGTGTCTAGTGAGACATAGAACATATGGTGACCTCCCAGAGTTACTGAACCTCAGTGTTCTCGTCATGAAATAGGGACAGGAGAACCCAGGCCCACTGTGTGTCATGAGGATAAACAAAAATAATGCGTTTAAAGGACCTGGAACATTTTAAGTGTTCAGTACATGACTGCTAGGCAAAGAGAGCCTCAGAGTCAATCTCAGCATTGTATCACTTTATATCTTCATGGGTATATGTGTCTTCTTTTATTGCACTTCTTTTTGGCATACAGTCTGATACTGTGACTCCAAACTGCATGCACATGTATTGCTGCAGCTTGAGTATGCTCCCTTCATGCTGCAGTATTGTCATCACTACGATGCTAGGGAGATTTGGAGAAGTGGCAAAGTCATGGGGCTTTGTCCTTGCAGATGGATTGATGCCTTATGAAAGGGCTGCAGAAAATGGGCTCAAGCTTTCTCTGTCCTTCTGTCCTTTCTGCTAGGTAAAGATACAACAGCTCAAACACACCTTGGTGGATATTGCACAAAGGCCTGACTTATTAAAGCCAAAGACTTTGGCAGACAGTGAATCTCATCTACCCAGACCTTGAACTTCTTGACTTTTAGAACTCTAAGAAATAGAATTTCTGTTATTCATAAACTGTTCAACTTATGCTTTTATTCAAGCAGAACAAATGGACTAAGATAGACATATTCACGCATATTTTTCGAACCATTTTGGAAGGCCAGTTAGACAAGGGCTCTGGACCTCTGGATGTAAGGCGATTGACATGCAAACAGCTAAGGTTTGAGATGGCATAACTTTGTGGGGTTGAAAGACTTTGAAGCAGCATATGAATTTTGAAGAAGTCATCTCAAAACCTCCCCCAAAGCAAAACTAAAATCTCATTGCTGAACTGTTAAGGAAAACATTTAATTACTGTCATGTTCTTGTCTTGTCACTTCAAGAGTGACAGGACAAAGCCTGAAACTCAAGACTGATGTGTAACTTGGAGCAAAGATTTAGAGCTGAGAGGTGATCATCAGGGTCAAACCTAGTGCTACAATCTCCCAAGTCTTAGCCAGAGCCATGAACCAATGACCAGTCCTTCCAAGAGACTATTGCAAAATGCGTGCTTGGTTAGTACTTCCAGTCTTCCTTTCCCCCAGCAGGCAAACACAGCATTCATTCTTTGTAAGGACAGATAGGAGTGTTTCGGTGATGTCGTCACACCCACCAAAGGTTTGAAATAGAAAAGGTCCTGGCCCTGGGTAGAACCCTGGATAGAAAAGGCTCTGCCCTTGAGTGACACTTTGGAAGATTTGGCTCTATGGGACCCAGGGGTTTTCATTCCTGGACATCAGTAGACAGAGACCTAAGTAATGCTGCCAGGTTCTAAGCATTGTCTCCTCCCAGAGTGGGGTGACCTCTTCGATCTTCACTTCGCTCTCCCCTGCTTTCACGGAGAGGTCAATCTTGAAGGCGTCCTCCAGTGTCTGTCGTCTCTGTGCCACCAGCTGCTGCCAGAGCGTTCGCACTGACTTCTGGATGTTGTGCTGGACTAACAGAGAGAGTACATAGCACAGTGAGGGTGGCCT